GGCAGCGGGAGGAGCAGCGGCAGCGCCGCGGGTCCCGCCGCCCGCACCGGCGGCAGCGCTCAACCCGGGCCGGAGGGGCGGAGGCGGGAGCGCGGCGCTGTCCCTTCAGCACCGGCGGCGCCCCCCGCCCCGCACCGCCGGGAGGGGCGCGGGCACAGCCCCGCCGTATCCCCGCGGCGGCTGCAGCCAGCACCGGCCCCCCGCAGCAGCCCCGCGCACCTGTGGGCAGCGCCGGCGCCGCCCTTTTCCTCCCCCACAAGGATGTCTGCTCCGGTGCCCGCGGCTGAAAGGAGAGCGCCCTCCTTCCCCCACAGGTCACCTCCCGAGTCGCCGGCCTCCTTCCCGCAGAGGGGAGTTCCCGCTGGGGGGGGTCTCCTTCGCGTGTGCGGTGCTGCCCCGCGCTGCGCTCTGAGTGACCCTCTCAAGCACCGCTGAAGTGAGTCACAGTTGTGCTCGTCCTGCCGGAACTGGACTCGCTGAAGGGCAAAATTCAAGATCAACCCAGGCATAAATTTCTCATATCATGAGCAGGGGTGCCCAGGGGTTGTCATTTCTTATCGCGCTTTTACATGGTCCCACGTATCTGCTCCACTTCTCCATCTTTTCTCTTGCTTTTCCTACTGTTCACTTGTTTCTTTCCTGACACTGTTGTTGGTAGGAAGTTGTGATTTGGGTTTGTGTTGTTTATTCTTTTTTTGTTTTCCTTCATTCACAATGAATGCCAAGTTCCTAGTTTGCGAGGAGCTTGAAGAACAGCAGGAAGATGGTTGTGTGGAAGGGAAGTGACGGAGGTATGTAGACACGTCCTGTATTTTGTTTTATTTGCTGCCAGCATCTCAGGAGGAATGGACTTATGGGAGAGCCTGGAGAGCTGAGCCATTGTGGATTGATCATGGGAGGTCACGTCATGATGAATGGATAGAGTGGAGAAACATCCAATTGAAGGGTACATGGTTAAGGAATACTGCTGGAGTGCAGAAGTGATAGAGGCAATACCATGCTTAACAGAAGAGTGTAGACTAGAGGAATGCAGTTAGGTTGAGCTTTGAAGTAGGACAAAGATTCAGATGTGTGGGAACAGTAGGTGAGGAACAAGTGGAGGGCTGTCAAAGAGCAAGTGGTGTGGTCAGGTATGTGAGAAGAGGGGTTTGGCCACCCACAACTTCTTTGGGTTGCAAAGGAGCATTGCATGTTTGGGATGCAGAGGAGAAAACTTTGCAGTAGTTGTGGTAGGATATTCCAAAGGGGTCTAACCAGAAGTTTATCAGTGAAAATGGTAACAGATTGGTCTTGAAGCTGGTGGAGTAGAAGGCAGGCCTGGGACCTGGTGTGTGACTCTTGGGAAAGGGGAGAGAGGACACTAGGAATGGGAGTATGTTACTGTTGTCAGCAGCAGTGAAAGAGAAAAGGGAAAGTGAGGCTAAATCAAGGCAACTCTGCATTTTAGCTAGCAAAAAAATGATGACAAAATCTCCACGAAGAGATGCCAGACAGCCACTTGAGCACTGGGACTGAACAGAGGCAGAAAGGTTGATGACAGAGGGAGAATATGAGAATCACAAGTGCAGAAATACTTTCTAAAGTCCTTGAGAATTGCCAGCCTGAGTGCACAGAGGGAGAAGAGGGTAGGTCTGTGAACCCAAGCCTGGCCTTAAGAAAGGAAAAGAGGACACTGACTCACTGATAGAAATAATACACACAAAAATTATTTTTTAATCATAGTAAGTCACTCTTTTTGATAATAATAGATCTGGGGATCAATGGGAAAGCACCGTAGAGTAGGTTTTGAGAATTATGAAGGCTGAGGAAGGCAGGTAATCCAGGAAAGAAGTTAAGGGCCTCTAAATCCTAGTCTAATGGGTCCTTCTGGTCACATCCACAACTCCAGAGGCTCTTTCATGGCTCATTAGCTCCTGCCTTCCATGTTACCTTACCCCTCTGAATGATTCTTCTTTAGGAATTTCAGTGTTGGGAACTAAGGTGACTGTGGGGATGAAAGAGATATCATGCAGCTTCTGTTGCTTGGATTTTCCTTCTTGTCTGGGGAACTGAAAGAGAGTGGTACAGGACCTCAGAAGTCATCTGAAAGTATATATTAAAAGCTAAAAAGCTTGTTTAAAGATAGTTTTCGTGGACTCAGGTGAGGAGGCCACGCTTAAGTGACCTGCAAGGTTTCTTTGAAGATACTAAAGCTGTAATTGAAAAAGGAGTGTTGGTAGAGACAGAAGAGTTGGATATTTCAAAAGACATATCAGAGGACCTCAAATCAGAGATTGATGGGTGAGCAGGAGCTTGTGAGATCTGGAGCAAGATAGCTACTGAAATGGAAGGTCTTTAAGAAATATAAATTGGAACATGAAGTTTATATATTATTTTGTTGCAGAAGGTGAAAGATATCATGTTTGAAGCTTATATTGAAGCTTGAGGGGGAGAGTATTAGAAAATAATATCTTTATTTAACAAGGATTGGGGCACAAAATAACTGCATATTGAGACACAAAGACTTTGCTTTGCATGGTAGACTATAGCATGATTTGCATTTGTTTGATTAGTGGTAGCTGATACCACCAGATAGGTGGTTGTTGGTTTGCATGAAATGAAAGTTTTAAGACAGTCTAGCAGGTGCTGTGAGCAAAGTTTTGTTTTAAGCTTGCCATATGATGATATAAAATTCTAGTTTAATTTTAAAAAATAACTTTCTATAATTAGAAATGTTTGGACTATGACAGATAAAACAAATCAACTAATTTTCCAAGATCTAATTTGCAGACAGAAAACTTCCATGGAAGTTTGGTTAATCTCAAACAAGACGGTGGCACTTCTGTCCTTCTAGTCCCACTGAAAAATAACAGTATTGTAACTGCTTTTTGTTCTGGTTTATGTTTGACACCTTTAAATGTTTAAACATCTGGTTTTTGTTCAGCATCTTAAAGGAGGACTTAATGTGAAGGTGGATGTGTAAGTGCAGGAGTTATCTAGTTTTTCTGTGATACCACTTGTAATTTTAAGTTAACTTAGTAATTAACCTTACTAAGTTTTGCATGTTAAAAAGAACTAAACCAGCTTTACAAGTGCTGGGAGCCCTCTGTAGGAGGCACAGAGTTAGTAGGTTATGCATATAGTTCATAGTCAGTTTGGAAAAGGATTCTGGTATAGCAGCAGCAGCAGGTGGTGTTATCAGAATTTTTTAAAATGCATTAAAAGCTATTAACCTTGGAAATACATTTTGTTTCCTGAGTTCATTTTAATAACTGGTGAGAGATTTTGATGATCATCTACACTGAACTGGGGCTGACTAAAACCTGGCATAAGTGGAGAAAATAAACTGTAGAGTTTAGAAAGGTCTCTCTGAAGGCCTCCCTTGTGGGAGCCTTCTGAGAGACCAGGGTTGCTCAGCTCCTACCCAGGAGAGTATATATGCACTTTGAGTAGTCCTTAGTCATTTGGTCTACCTATAACCTTAGCTGTTCTTCTAAATCAACATATTTATTGGTGTTGGTGGAAGAATAACTTCAAGCCATAGATATTATTTAGTTTTTAAACTACTGTGTAGCAGAAAAAGAGAGTGAGTCCCCTTACTAATTTTATCACTCGTGTTAGGTCACCTCACTGTCTCCTGTGTTCTGATGACACAGGAAGACTGAGTCCTTCTTTCACCTCTGTATCTCGTGTACTGTGATCACCTTTGCTGCCCTATACTTCAGCATCCCCAAGTAATCATATACAATGAAAGGTAGGTTGTCTTTTAGACAGAAGTCTAAATTCTGTCTACAAACTAAAAAATAACTAGTGTGGGTTCACTGTTGTTAATCCTCTTATTCTCTACTTACTGCTTTAGCTGACAACTGCAGTGATTTCTATCTAACTCCAAAGGAGCTTTTTTCTCAATGTGCGAGATGACTGAGCATATATTCCCTAGCATTCTTAAACTTAGTAACTCATACGTTTGAAGTGAAATTTTAATTTTTTAAAAATTGTTTTTATTTTTTATGAAGACA